AGTCTACTGTGTGATGGTTCAGGTGACTGAGGTTTCAGGTAAGGGATGCAGGTACAATGTGAGGTTGAGGATAAAATGAGGAACTCTGTCGCTCCTGACTGATGTAGCTACAGGAGTCAGAAGAACACAGCATTTCATTCCTACTGAGATTCTAGGAACGTGAGCAGGTGTGTTCAGAGCATCAGGTTTGTACTTAGTTTGTGAGGTCTGATGTGAGGGAAGCTAACAGTGTCTCCACAGAACATCTAGCATCCTTGTTTCTAACTGATCAAACCATTAAAGCCAGAATATTTAGGATCAATGTCATGATTTATCTTCAGCGTCTTCAGAGAAACCCCAAGAAAACCGGGCCGCCGTTGTTCTGGTGTCCTCGTGAACGGTGTGTGTGTCGTTGTTTCAGTGCCACGTGTGTGTGAGACACTGTTTGGGCAGATTAAAGCTGATGAATAATTAAGTTGACTTAAGAAGCTTATTAAATCCAGAGCTACAGAGGAGGCAGAACAACAGGAAACCGAGCCCTAAGCCCCCACGAGACGCCAGCCACACAGCTCACGCTCACAAGTCTCTTCAGCCCCTTTATTCTCAACCACTGAAGACATTTGTTTTGTTTGCCTGGTGTAGACACTGTGCAGGGGCAATAAATGTCCATTTCTAAGGGAATAGCAGCATCAAATCTTGCAGACCTAAAAGTCTGGAAAGCATGAACAGACAAACAAAGCACCTGAGAGACCAACACCACTGCATGACGATGGACAAGTCTGACAGTACATCACAACTCTAAAGCTAGCAACGCTCAGACAGTCTGAGAATTTAGAAACCTTTAAAAAACGCTGCTCTATCCGTAGGTCAGCAGTCAAACAGAAGCAGATGAGTGGTGGTGGCCATGTTTCCTCCTTCACACGACAGATCTGACTGTCTTTGAAACATCAGAGGCTTGTTAAACTAAATCTACCTGCAGCCGTTATTCACCTGCTGGAAATGTGCCTCTGTCAGAACTACGTGAAAGAGTCAGAGGTCAGATTGTTATTATGGGAAGCAGGTATTAAAATCCCAGGTTTAGGTACCTGACCTCACCTGAAACCCAAACTCCTAGCTCTGCACTGCATGGACTGCCATTCAGCTACACACCCAGAAATGCTCTATCACAACCCCTTTGGCCTGTAAAGCCCTTCTCTCCACTAAACCTTTGTGCTAAGAGCAAAGAAAGCATCTGTTTGAGTTGGAACATGGACTTTCTAACCCAGCTATGTGCTAAGTGCTTCATGTTTGCTTGAATGTCTCAGTGGAAGGCCTTAAAATTAGAAATGACTGATCAGGCTGTGGAGCAGAGCAGGAGGTAGAAACGCTACTGAGAGCTAGCACTAATGCAGACTGTGTGTTTGGAGACATGGTGGTGGAATATCTGAACAACATCCTTGTGAAGACCAGATGAAATGGAAAACTGGTTGCACTGGAGTCTGAAGTCTGCAAATACAGTAACTAATACCAGTTGTAGTAGGTCAGCTCAATGTAATGCACCTGTTTCAGTAACACTAGCTGATGCTCAACACCTGTTCACAAAAACAACACTGGCTGTTCATGTGATGGATGGACGGTCAGAAGCCTACCAGGTCCAGCCTTTTGGAAGGATGACATCTGGTCCAGCCTTGACTTTCACATACGTCACGAATGGCTTTAAAGACCATTTAAACCACAGCGTGAATGCATTCAGCTACAAGAGCAGCACAGATCTGAAATGCTTCTGACTTCAGGAAGAACACACTCACTTTTGGCCTTTTCATTCTTGCGTGAGGGCCTCCAGCGGATGCAGGACTTGTGTTCGTCCAAATAGAAGAAGCGCACCAGTCCCTTGGAGCCTCCGCGGAGCTTCACCATCTGGGTCCCCATCTGCATGGAGCTCATGCATTTCTCCACTGGAAGCAAGAAGACAGAAGAAAACAACAAAACGGTTGGAAAGTTGCTGGAGTGAGCACTGCAACGGACAGACATGTGCATATGTTGCATGTTTTCACTCAAGAGGTGTGTGTGTGTGTGTGTGTGTGTGT